TCTCTAGATTTTCTGAGAATTAGAAGGAACATTCTTTATTTTTAAGGAAAAAGCTTCAAATGTTGCCTGAGATCTCAAGATTTTCTGAGAATTAGAAGGAACATTCTCTATTTCTAAGAAAAAAACTTCAAATTTTGCCTAAGATCTCTAGATTTTCTGAGAATTAGAAGGAGCATTCTCTATTTTTAAGGAAAAAGCTTCAAATGTTGCCTGAGATCTCAAGATTTTCTGAGAATTAGAAGGAACATTCTCTATTTTTAAGAAAAAAGCTTCAAATGTTGGCTGAGATCTCAAGATTTTCTGAGAATCAGAGGGAACATTCTGCTGCCTTTTTTGTTCATATCATGCCTTATATTGTGTTGTTTATCCTGAATACACCTTGATTTCCTAAAAAAAGCTCCAAATATTTACTGGATCGCAAGGGCGTTTCTGTGAAGTAAAGGCATCAAGCGCATATATATTTTGTTCTAAAGCGAGTACCTGTTATTATAGGTGTCAAATGTATACCGCTGTGCTGTTAGAATGCGATATAATGTCAAGTAAACAATATCTGAGATTCGCTCTTCGTTGTATACTGCAATTCTTGATGTCATGTTACTGTGTGCGTTTGAATTATTARCTAAATGGTAGATAAACTGGGGAAAACAAAATAAAATTGAATAAAAATAGTACTATAATTAACTCAATAGCAGAATTTTTTCCAGCAATTATGCCCAGCAGCTTGACTTTCAATTTCTTGGCCGGAATGAATTCAAGAATTTTTTTAATTCTTGCACCCTCAATTACAAAAATGATAATTGAAGGCAGAGGATCTCAGAAGGAAAAGGGATAGTAGCCTTGTTGAGTCGCCTTGGGCTTGGTATGCTACTTAAGTTTAATCCGGCGTTTTATTACTTTGAGTTGAAAAACTCACTGTATGTTTTCAAAATACAACGAAATACAGTAAACTTTGAAGGTAAAACTAGTAGTMGGAGTAACTTACTTTTATATTTTATTTCATATTTAGGTATCAGTAGGTAATTTGTYGAAATGCACCTAAACATGGGTATGAATTTTGCTAATGAAAAAAATTAAAGGGGCACTTGGATGATGGCGTCCAAATTTTTCAAAGTCCGAATAATTGAAGTATTTGTGGATAATTTGACTCAATTATGGTTATGTAAACCAGATTAGTGAAAATGTTTGCCTGACAGCCACTTGCAGTTGAGAAATTTTGGGTTAAAAGAGAAAAGAAAAATAGGGTTGGGTAAAAGACGTCATTTACTCACAATTTATATGCTARATAAAATT